TTTCAAGTCTGGTGCAAAAACGCATGATCGCACCGGCTCGCCTGGTGCGTTCCAGCCTGGGTTCAAGCTGCGACAATCGACTGTTTTTTCCTTAATGAATACCAATCATAACGCTAGGATTTTTAGCCTTGATCTCCCCATGCTGCTGGATTGAAGCCTCAGTCAGCTGGTCCTGGCTAAAAGTGATTTTCCGGGTCCCTTCCCTCGACTGTCCTGAAAGTATATACAGTAATTATCATTTTAGCTAACCGAGCACTACAGCCAAAGTCACAGTAGCTTTTCGTTCACGTCGTATTTTTCGAACTGCTTTCTTGATAATCTGTCCTCGTGACTGCTCCCTCTGCATTATTCTTCTAACCTTCAGCAGTTCCACAACATTTCGCCCATTCGTTACATTTTTGCTGCAAAAAATTCGAGAGAAATTTCAAAATGTTTTACTCGAAAAATTTAATTAAACGAAATGCCAGAAGTTCAGTTTTGTTGACTCGTTCATTTACAAGTCATGAAATCGTAGTAAATTTAGAAATGAGGTCATAGGTCAGGAAACTGAGCAGCTCAAAGTTTTACTTCAAATCCACTGTTTTGCAGACTTCATTCTCGTAGCTCAAGTAGTTTTTAAGCTGAATTATGCAAAATGATATAAATAGAGATAGAAACTGCCTTGCTGTTGTATGAAAATGTTCGAAATTTCCAAAAATAGCTCTCTTATCATGAGACTGTATTTGTGTGTTTGGGTGGGTATAATTTTAATAGAAAAATTGTTTGTTTCTGCATGGTTTTTACATCACTGACGAAGCGCAATGCAAAAACTCATATTGCCGTGAGATTTTGTATGTGTGTAAGTGTGTGCGTGCATATGTATTCTGATTTTGTTACCCAGTATCAATTCAACAATGAAACAAGTTAGGATGTCGTAGCTTTGCTATATTTGGATCTATATGCGGCCTTATGAACGAAAAATCAGCTCCCACTTAAGCCTACCTCAAACGTGCAGAAACTCAAGGCCAAAAAAAGCATTGACGGAAAAAAACTTCGAGATCCAGATAAGACAGGAAGCTAAAAACCTGGAATCAGTTTTTGAACCTTGCTATTATTTAAGATGTGAGTCTAATTCAAGCTTAAACTTGCTTCTAATTTCAGAAAGGGACAAGCTATAAGTAAGGATTTTTCTGAACTTTATTCCAAGGCGCCTTGCAGTGTAAACAACTTAGAATCTCCAATGCATCTTGTTATAACCCTTAAGTCTAAGTTCATGCCGATTTTATAATTTTCCTCAGGTTGCCACGCATCAGGCTTGCTGGTGCAATTATGTGTTTTTGCATTAAAGTTCCAGCAGTCAATTCGTTAACAGCAGGAATGGTTCCAGCATTGTAATTTAACGCCTGGGCTCGTGTTGGCAGTTTTTGGCCTTTTTTTTTTGCTTGCAGGCGAGAAAGAAGGTCGGTTAGCATGGTAGTATTGCATTATGGAGCTGTGTGAATCACCGTACATGTTTATCAATCTTTGCATGGAATTCAGTCGTTTTTTCGGACCAATCGTTCATCGAAAAATACAAATTAGAAAATGCGCAGGATGTTGGAAGAGGACTGCGAGATCCGCAAAACGCACTAGTTTTTGAATTTGCGATGAAACTGATATTTGTCATACGCTCGTGGAGCGAATTTAGCCTCGGAGCTGTATTTAAATCACTCTTGAGTATAGAATATAATAGCAAAGTTACAGCTTAGTAGCTTTTCTGCTAAGTGTAATAGCCACTTCATTACAATTATCTTTGAAGTGTCCTAAGTCGTGCCACAAGTGCAAATCGAAACTCTTTCTAGGCATACGGCATGCCAGATGGACGATAAGTATTCTAACAAGTTTTCATCTACTGTTTCCCAGCTAGCGTTCGAGTTGGCACAGTGTCAACTCCAGACTTTAACATGACTGTAGTTCGATTCTCGTGCCTCTACTTCCGGTTCTTCGTTTGGATCGGTTTACCCAAGACAAATTTTAATCTTGCTCCTGTCTATTTTTTTATGCGGATGAAGCTGGAAATCCGGTGCGAAACAAACTATGAGTCTAAAATCTTCGCACTTTTTACGTGATTGAAAAGTGGCGATCAAAAGTCGACGCTTTGAGTGCATGTACGCTGCGACAGCATATTCCAAATACAAGACATTGAATTTTCGGATTTTTAATGTACCTGCTAAAATCGTTTGCGACATTCAAAAATTTTTGTGAATCGTAGGAGAAGCGACTGTTTCGAAGCCGATTCCCTTCCAGCGCTTCCACTTCACCATAAATACTGTTCCGCGTTGATTCGCAACGCAGTTTGCATTCTGGTGAAAACTGTTCGCATTGGCTATCAATGTAGGGTAAAAGATCTTGAAGGTGTTCACCGAACGCTCTGAAATGGAATTTTTGAAGAAAAAATACGAGCTATCACGTTAGTTCTGCTTGAAAATGCTTGGCTTTGAACTGCCCAAATAGTAGTTTCCGGACAAAATTGAAATGGCTCTTTTTTTCACTAGAAATTGAATTGACTTAAGCGATCTCTTCTTCCGGTGTTCAACTGCAGATAAACAACTTTTCTGAAAACATTTTGAGCAGAAGCACAGAAAATGAGAAACTGAAAAGCGGAGCAAAATTAACAAGTGGTTTTGTCTGGTCGCGCTTTGTTGTTTTTCCTGAATTCGTTTCGAATCACTTTTTATGCACACATGATAGCTATAGCTGGGACTAAGTTCAGCGGCTGGTGCTGTAATTGTTTCCGTACTCTGATCGTCGTGCTCATCATCCGATGGCGAGTGTAGCGCCGAAAGTATCTAAAATTCGCAAAAAACTAATTTCTGCTCTTTGGTTACGATGCAACTGATACCCAATGGCTTATTTTATGAATTCATCCCCTATTCACCACATTTTATGAGAGATGCAGGCGTTTGGAAGTATTTTGAGGAAAGCAAACACCAGTGGTGCTGAGACCCAGGGTCTCAAATTATTCTAACAAAATTTCTGAACGCTCATTTCACTTCTTCGCAAGCGTCATGTGGTACGCTTTTGCAGGGCAAAACGCCGACGGCGATGTACAACACGTGAAAATTATTAATCCTTTGTTTGTACTGGTTAGGAAGGGGAAGGAGGCGGGGTTTCTTATTGCCCTTTTTTCTTCGATGTAGTACAGCTGTTCCCATTGCGCATACAAGTATTTTTCACTTGTGCGGTGATGTAATTTGATGTTGGTAATGCCGCGAGTTTGTTTGCTGTGGTAAACAAGGATTATATTGTCCAAATTTGAGGTATGGAATTCACGCGTGAACCGCGGGCTCTTCTGCTGTTTCCGAGCCAAGTTTGATGAGGAACGAGTGGCAGCGACAATCCATCAGTCGGATTCTCAAAAAAGATTCCCCTTTTTATGCGTTTTTGCTGTGCAGCGCTATAGC